GGGCGGGTCGCGACCCGGCGGGCTCAGGCAATCCACTCACCTCAGCCTCCCAAAGGCATGGGATTACAGGCTGAGCCACTGAGCCCGGCAGTAAATATTTAGTTAGTTAGTTAGTTAGTTATTTGTTTGTTGGTAGAGACAGGGTCACACTACATTGCCCAGGCTGACCTTGAGCTCATGGGCTCAAGCAGTCCTTCCAGGTACTAGGATTAAAGGCATGAGCCACTGAACCCAGTCTGGTCAGTCTTTTTTTGGGGGGGGGTCGAAGTCTTGTTCTGTCACCCAGGCTGGAGTGTAGTGACACTCGCAGCCACCTCAGCCTCGACCTGCTGGGCTCGGGTGTTTCTTCTGCCTCAGCCTTCCAATTAGCTGGAACCACAGATGTGCACCACCACTCCTGGCTGATTTTTTTATTTATTGTAGAGACATGGTCTCGCCACGTTGCCCAGGCTGGTCTTGAACCCCTGAGCTCAGGTAGTCCTCTCACCTCTGCCTCCCAAAGGTTGGGGATTATAGGTATGAGCCACTGTGCCTGACCCTGGTCAGTCTTTTTCATCATAGGCATTGTAATAGGTGTGTAGTGGATCTTTTGTTTTCTTTTTGAGTTGGGGTCTCTCTGTGTTGCCCAGGCTGGAGTGCAGTGGTGTGATCCCTGCTTACCACAGCCTCAACCTCCTGGGCTCAAGCAGTCCTATCAACTCAGCTTCCTGACTAGCTGAGGCTATAGGTGTTTTCTAACATACCCCTCAATTTTTTTGTATTTTTTGTTGACATGAGTTCTCGATATGTTGCCCAAGCTGGTCTCGAGCTTCTGGCTCATGCAATTTTCCCACCTCAGCCTCCCAAAGTGCTGGTATTATAGGCATGAGCCACCGCGCCCAGCCACATTTTTAACTTTTCTTAGTCTTGCTACTTGAAGGACAGCTGGGCTGTATATAAAATATTTGGTTCATGTTTGTTGCCCAAGAATTTCTATGAGAAATTCTAATGATAACCAATTTTCCTTATTTTGTAAATGACTTGGTCTTTTTTTTTTTTTTTAGTTGGAGTCTCACTCTGTCACGGGCTAGAGTGCAGTGTGACCTACTGGTCTCAGGTGATCCTTCTGCCTCAGCCTTCCAGTAGCTGGAAATAAGGCACATGCCACCATGCCCGGCTAATTTTTTGATTTATTGTAGTGTTGAGGTCTTGCCAAGTTGCCCAGACTGGTCCCGAACCCCTGGGCTCGGGCTGCCCTCTCACCTCAGCCTCCCAAGGTGCTGGGATTACAGGCATGAGCCCACGCTGGCCTTACGTATCTTACTTTAAGAGAATGTTTTCATCTTGCAGACTGAAACTCTGTCCGTTGAACAACAGTCCCCCACTTCCCTTTTCTCTAGCCCCTTGTAATCGCCATTCTTTTTGTGTCCATGAATCTGACTACTTGGATACGTCCTACAGGTGAAATCATCTAGTCAGTGTGTTTGTTTTGCTTTTGTGGGGATTTTTGACTCATGCTAGTCCTTGAATGCTTTCTGTTTTCTTTGCCTTTCCACATCCTGTTGGTTTTCATTTCCTAGGCCTGTTTTCTCTGTATGATCATTCAATATAGATTTCTTTCTTAATTAAAGTATTTACTGTTTTTATTTGACATTTGAGGATTTTATCATATTTTACATTGTGTGTGTGTGTGTGTGTGTGACAGTGTGTCTTAAATTCCTCTTTAGATCACATCTCTTGAGTAGACAGCATATTTTCATATACCTGTCAATGATGTGCATAGTGCTTAGTAGATAGTAGGCACTAAAAATATTTCTTTTTAAATTGAATTAAATAAAAATACAAGTAATTAATGATTTTTTAGGTCTTTTCCAGATTACGTAATTTCATTCTCATATAAAATAAAAACTGATTAGTTACTATTAAAATCTCGACACGTTTATAAGGTCAAGAGAAAATATATTCTTTGGACCACAGGGCTATGGTCAGATTAGCAGTACCATAGTCTATATAAAGTCATGTTAATGGCCTGACTTTTTTCCACTCTGCCAAGAAGCTAACCCTTTTATCTGGTCTTCATTGAAATGTAGCTATTCTTGAACATGTCTGCTCATTGTCAGTGGAGAGGAAGTAAATTGTGGAGACATTCACATCATGTATGACGTGCCTCTTAGAACGTCGCCTATGTCCGTCGTTGGGGTTAAAGTCACACAACCTCCAAGCAGGTGGGCTTCCTGTGGCTTCACCTGGGATGTAAAGTAGACATTTTCAGTGTGATGCGGTCATGTCTGGAGTAAGATGACTCTTGGTACTGGCGAACGTACATTTTTGGAAGATACCTACCTGAACGTTAACTGTGTTTATTCCTTACCGTCTCCAGAGTGACGATTCTGACATTTGGGATGATACAGCATTGATAAAAGCTTATGATAAAGCTGTGGCTTCATTTAAGGTATGAAATGTCTATTGGCTCTTTTTCTTGTTTTCTCGTGTGACTCATTTGGAAAGAAGTGCTAGCATGCTAAAGTGCATGTTTGGTTTTCATTTTGAAGACTGGATGCCAGGATGGATTCGTGAAATCAGACCCCTTCAGCAGCTGATGGCCTACTTACATATCATCCCTTTTGCAGAGGCAGTTGAAGCATAGTTTTGTTCTGCTTTGTTTTGTCTTTTGAGTCGGAGTCTCCCTCCGTCGCCCAGACGGGAGTGCAGTGGCCGCTCCCGGCCACCACAGCCTCAACCTGCTGGGCTCCGGCGATCCTGCCGCCTCAGCCTTCAGCCTTCCGAGTAGCCGGAATTACAGGCACGCGCTACCACGCCCGGCGGATTTTTTTGATTTATTGTAGAGATGAAGTCTCGCCAAGTTGCCCAGGCGGGTCTCAAACTCACAGGCTCAGGCCATCTGCTCACCTTGGGTTCCCAAAGCGTGGGATTACAGGCTGAGCCACCGAAACCTGCCAATTCTGGATTCTTTTTTTTTTTCCAGTTGGAGTCTCACTCTGTCGCCCAGACTGGAGTGCAGTGGCCACTCCCAGCCACCACAGCCTCGACCCGCTGGGCTCCGGCGATCCTTCCGTCTCAGCCTTCCGAATAGCCGGAATTACAGGCGCACGCTACCACGCCTGGCTGATTTTTTGATTTATTGTAGAGATGAGATCTCGCTGCCCAGGCGGGTCTCCAACCCGCGGGCTCGGGCAATCCACTCACCTCAGCCTCCCAAAGGCGCGGGATTACAGGCTGAGTCCACGAGCCCGGCTAATTCTGGATTCTTAAATAGACTTTCCAGTATATACTGAAACTAGAAGTGGACAAAGGGAGAGTTACCAAGAGAGTTTTTTAAACTACAAATTGAGAGGGGGCTCAGTATGGGATTGCAGAGGGAAGTAGTCTGAGTAAAGGAGGAAAATAACTGATTTGGGAAAATGACAGTAAAAGTAATACACACATTGGGGCCCTACTTTGCCATGTTATCTAGGGTGCCATGAACATTCAGAAGAAAGAGACGATTAACAGGGTTTAATGTTACAGAGAGATTGAACGCAAAGGAACTTGATTAAAAGGGTCTTTAGAGCTGATAATCAGTTGTATGATACCTTTGAGAACAGTTATGTAATGTGTGAGACAGTGAAAAAAGGAAGTAGAGACTTTCTGAGGTGATGGGGCCTTAAGACCAGCTTATAGTGGTACCTGAATTATGTTGTGACTTTTTGTTATTGTACCACCCTGTTACATGTACATTTCTGTTCCTGTTTTCATAGCATGCTCTAAAGAATGGTGACATTTGTGAAACTTCAGATAAGCCAAAAACCACACCTAAAAGAAAACCTGCTAAGAAGAATAAAAGCCAAAAAAGGAATACTGCAACTCCCCTGAAACAGGTTATTTTGAAAGTGACATTTAACTTTGAAGGATTTCTTGTTACTGTTCTTATTAACTAGTACAAAACATCTTTAACTTACGTGATTTGCACTGTGTTTTCTATTTTCATGTAATCATAACATTTCAAAAATGATTACACTTTCTGTTGTTTAGGAACATGTATGTCAGTAATGAAAGTATGAGAAATTAGATGGGAATGATACATGCTAAAATCAAGATGGTATTTATTTTGCGTGTTGGGGGAGAAGAAGGCAGTGCTATTTGGAGGAGTGTCTGCTATCTGACAGCCATAAACTGGATTGTGCTTTACTTTTTTTATTTTTGAGTTGGAGTCTCTGTTGCCCAGGCTGGAGTACAGTGGCATGTTCACGGCCACCGCAGCCTCGACCTGCTGGGTTCAGGCAATCCTTCTGCCTCAGCCTTCCAAGTAGCTGGAACTACAGGCATGTGCCACCACGCCCAGCTAATTTTATGTTTTATTGTAGAAATGAGGTCTCGCCAGGTTGCCCAGCCTGGTCTCGAACCCCTGGGCTCAGGCGGTCCTCTCACCTCAGGCTCCCAAAGTCCTGGGATTATAGGCGTGAACCACCACACCCGGCCTGTGCTTTACCTCTTAAGCTGAGAGATGGGTATCTTTTTTTCTTTTTTCCTCAAAAAGCCTAAAACTGTTAATTCTAGGGAGCCCAAAAGTCTAGGTAGAATCATTTCTGCTTGTTAAAAACAGAAGACCCAGAAGCTAAATATTTTAGTATCTCGTAATTTCATTGTTGCCAAGGGGGATGAGAGCTAACGGTTGGTGAGCACTTGTTCTGTGCTAGTACACTTTATGTACTTCCAGCAAATATGGGAAGTTGATTATATTATACTCATTTAACAAATGGGAAGAATAAAACTCAGAGAGATTAAGAAACTTGTCCATGATTATATAAATGGGAGAGTTGGAAATCGGACTTATGTAAATCCTTTTTCATTCTCTTACTCTGCCATCAAAACAGTTAATTATCCTCTCCACTCCTCCACCCTCAAAACCTAAACAAGATGATTGTTTTTCCTCTTCAAAAGAAATGTGTGTGTCTATAGTTTTGATTTCTTTTATAGTGGAAAGTTGGTGACCGATGTTCTGCCATTTGGTCAGAAGACGGCTGCATTTACCCAGCTACCATTGTTTCCATTGATTTCAAGAGAGAAACCTGTGTGGTGGTTTACACTGGATACGGAAATAGGGAGGAGCAAAATCTGTCTGATATACTTTCCCCAACCTCTGAAGCAACTAATAACGTTGAACAGAATGCTCAAGAGGTAAGGATACAACAAATTCAATTTCTGGAAGCAGAGACCAGATGGGAAACTAAACAACATCACTAGTCATCAGTTTGATCCGTAGAAGCATTAGATTTTTCTTAATGACATCTTTGTGAGAAAAATATGTGTATTTTTTCTATTTAAAGAATGAAAATGAAAGTCAGATTTCAACAGATGAAAGTGAGAACTCCAAGTCTCCTGGAAATAAGCCAAATAACATCAAGTCCAAAGCTGTCCCATGGAACTCTTTTCTCCCTCCACCGCCCCCCATGCCTGGGTCAGGACTGGGACCAGGAAAGGTAAACCTTCTAAAGGTAGCCCAGTCTAGTTAATATTGGGAGTTTTAACCCCTCCATTAAGTGATTGTTTCTTCGTCGTGAAACTTTTTTTTTTCTTAGTTGGAGTCTCATTCTGTTGCCAAGGCTAGAGTATAGTGGCCATTTACAGCTTCCACAGTCTCGACCTGCGAGCTCTGGTGATCTTTTTGAGACAGTCTTCCGGGGAGCTGGAGCTACAGGCATGTGCCACCAGACACGGCTAATTTTTATTTATTTATTGTAGAGATGAGGTCTCACCAAGTTGCCCAGGCTGGTCTTGAACCCCTGGACTCAGGCAGTCCTCTTGCCCCCATCTCTCAAAGCATTGGTATCATAGGTGTGAGCCATCATACTCAGCCTCCCATAAAACTTTGGTCATTCTCTTTAGATGTTACACACACTTGAGAATTTTTGGAAAGGAAATGTGATAACACAACATAGTTTGTACTGAGGGACTTACTCAACTACTTTTGTGGAGTATTAGTATTCGACTAATGATTTAGCAAATTTGCTTAAGTTAGAAAGAATAGTAATACTTTATAATAACTGGATAATATACTGTAGTTCCCCATGTCACCTGTATAAGATTTGTCAACAGATAAAATCCTGAGGAGCTCCCAGATTGTTTTGTAGAATCAAGTGTAAATTAAAATGTAAATACTGTTTTTACTTATGGTTTTTTTATAATAAGTAACAAACCATGGGTTAGGTTATGTCATCAAATCCAAGGGTATGTCCTTTTCCTTTTTTTTTTTTTTTTTGAGTTGGAGTCTTACTCTGTCACCCAGGCATGCTCACAGCCACCGCAGACTTGACCTGCTGGGCTCAGGTGATCCTTCTGCCTCAGCCTTCCAAGTAGCTGAAACTACAGGCATGCACCACCATGCCCAGTTAATTAATTTCTTTATTTATTGTAGAGACGAGGTCTCACCAAGTTGCCCAGGCTGGTCTCAAACCCCTGGGCTTAGGCAGTTGTCTTGCCTTGGCCTCCCAAAATGTTGGGATTACAGACTTGAACCTTAATTTCTTTATTTATTGTAGAGACAAGGTCTCACCAAGTTGCCCAGGCTGGTCTCAAACCCCTGGGCTTAGGCAGTTGTCTTGCCTTGGCCTCCCAAAATGTTGGGATTACAGACTTGAGCCACCATGCCTGGCCTGTCCCTTTCTTATTCTTCTGTGTAAAGCAGTGATTTCTTTCCCAAAAGGTAAAAAGCCTTTATTTTGAACCCTTTGCACTTGGATGTCCCCTCTGAGGGAACATCATAAATTTAGTAAACCACTCAGATGTCCCCTCTCAGTAGACATAAAGTGATTGCTGGTGATTATGCAGGACAAGCTTATGCCAACGCATATTTTTTTTTTAAATGTATGTTTCCTTGAAGTTTTCCATGTAAATTGCACAAAAAAAGTAAATAAAGTGATGGCATACATACTGAGATATGATCGATCAGTTGAGAAGTGATTTTCAGGAATCACAAGTGCTTCCTTCCACATCTTCAGACAACAGACTGGATAATAAATTACATGTTATTAATGTAGGAGGAAGAAAACGAGATTTCTCAGACTGCATTGTCTGCTTGAATAGAAAATCACCAGGTGGAAGAAATCCAACAAATTATTATTGCACAACATGTCTCAGTGAACCAGCAAGGCATATAAGATAGAAAATTTTGATTTTTTTTTGGTCATAGATAAGTGTCTCTATCCAAAATTTCATTATAAGCCAAATATCACTACAATAAAAAAATTGGTTCCAACACTATATTATTTAATATGTAAGTCATTTGTTTTCACTGTTTTGTAAAAAAGTGTGGTCACATTGCTGGTGGATGGTCCACGAGATGTCTCTGAATGCAAAGGGTTAATGTGTACAAAGAAAGGAAATGAGAAAGATCTAGAGGTTTTCATTTGACTTGAGCCTTTTTGTCTTTAGAAATTGGTATGTGAAATTCCATTTCATCTTTTTGATGTGTATAATGCAGATATTCTGAGTAATTATTTTTATCCTTTTGGTATCAAATCCTTTTTCTTCCTTTCAGATTGAAATTAAATTAATTTTTCTCTGAAATATTTTTTATAGTCAGGTTTAAAATTCAATGGCCCACCACCACCACCACCACCACCTCCCTTCCTGTCATGCTGGCTGCCTCCATTTCCCTCGGGACCACCAGTAAGTACAAAAGAATTTAGACTCAAATTTGCTTTCACATGTAGTTTGGAATTTAGCAGAATATAGGGAATTAGAAGATGTCATTTTAGCCCGGCTCGGTGGCTCAGCCTGTAATCTCGCACTTTGGGAGGCCAAAGTGAGTGGATTGCTTGAGCCCGCGGGTTCGAGACCCGCCTGGGCAACTTGGCAAGACCTCATCTCTACAATAAATCAAAAAAATTAACCGAGCGTGGTAGCGCGCGCCTGTAGTTCCAGCTACTTGGAAGGCTGAGGCGGAAGGATCGCCGGAGCCCAGCGGGTCGAGGCTGCAGTGGTCGGGAGTGGCCACTGTACTCCAGTCTGAATGACAGAGACAGAGTGAGACGCCAACTCAAAAAAAAACAAAAAAGCAAAGGTATCATTTTAGATCATCCCTGGGGCCAGTTGTTTGCTTATTTGTTTGTTTTGTTTTTGAGTCAAGGGTCTCTGTCACCCCTGCTAGAGTGCAGTGGCACACTCACAGCTACCACAGCCTCAACCTGCTGGACTCAGGCAATTTTTCTGCCTCAGCCTTCCAGGTAGTTGGAATTATGGGTGCACGCCACCATGCCTGGCTAATTTATTTTATTGTAGGGATGAGGTCTTGCTAAGCTGTCCGGGCTGATCTTGACTCCTGGGCTCAGGCAATCCTCTGGCATCTTTCTCCCAAAGTGCTGGGATTAGGCGTGAGCCACCACGCTCAGCACCCAAAGCCAGTTTCCAGTGAGTAAAACTTTGAACTAATCTGCTAGTATCTTGTTTTTAATGCCCTCATGTTACCCAGATGCAGTGCTCTTACAGCCCAACTCTGAGCTCTCTGTCCTTTGCTTGCAGAAGTTGATATCTGTTCTATAGGAAGGCAGTTCTGTTAGAAAGGATGTTTTGTATGTTTGTTTGTTTGTTTGTTTCTTTGAGTTGGAGTCTCACTCTGTCGCCCAGACTGGAGTGCAGTAGCCACTCCCAGCCAACGCAGCCTGGACCTGCTGGGCTCTAGCGATCCTTCCGCCTCAGCCTTCCAGTAGCTGGAACTATAGGCACACACTACCATGCCCAGCTAATTTTCTTTTATTTATTGTAGAGATGAGATCTTACCAAGTTGCCCAGGCGGGTCTCGAACCCGTGGGCTCAGGCAATCCACTCACCTCAGCCTCCCAAGGTGTGGGATTACAGGCTGAGCCACCGAGCCCGGCTTAGAAAGGATTTAATTATACCATATATCAGGGATTAATGTTTGCTTTTCCAGGTATACTTGGATATTAACTTCTGATCATGTAAACTGGATTTCTAATGGTAGAGTTTTAGGTACTGTATTAACAATAGATACCCAGACACTTTTTGGCAGATCGTGTGTATTGGGAGTAGGGCAGGTGTTCTATATAAGACCTTTTACTTAAAATGACCCTTCAAATGCCGTGTGGGTTTTTTTGTGTGTGTATGCTTGTGTTTTGAGGAAAAACATAAAAGAACTTATGCTTACTTTTTTTTTTTTTAACTCATTACTCCATAATGGAACTGCTGTATTGTCTAACTAAATCAAATTGTTTAAATATTTTATGGTACCTATTATCTTTTGATCCTTGTTAAATTGAATTTTTGTTGGTATTTTGTTACTATTGTCTTTCTCCAAATGTTAGATTTTTTTTTTTAATGGAAGATGATATGGAATGTAGGAAAAACCCAATTAATATCCAGCATTCTCTGTGTAGTGTGAGCCTCCAGCTGTCACAATCTTGTTTACTGACTGACTATAAGATAAATCTTTTCATTTCCAGATAATTCCCCCACCACCTCCCATATGTCCAGATTCTCTTGATGATGCCGATGCTTTGGGAAGTATGTTAATCTCTTGGTACATGAGTGGCTATCATACTGGCTATTATATGGTAAGTAATCATTCAGCATCGTTTCCTGACAATTATTTGTAACTATGTGACTTTGTTTTGTAAGTTTAATAATACAACTATTTGTCCCAGGCACAGTGGCTCACGCCAGAAATCCCAGCACTTTGGGAGGATGAGGCAAGAGGATTGCTTGAGCCAAGTAGTTTGAGACCAGCCTGGGCACCATAGTGAGACCCATCTCTACAAAAAAATTTAAAAATTAGCTGGGTGTGGTGGCATGTGCCTGTAGTCTCAGGTACTCAGGAGACTGAGGCATAATGATTGCCTGAGCTCAGGAGGTCTAGGCTGCAGTGAGCTGTGATTGTGCCACTGTACT